GTGATCAGTGTGGCAGCGGCGTTTCCAGGGCGACGCTAATCTGGACTCGGGATACTCGCCACATTCCCCCCCCCTAGGCGTCGCCCTGGTCCTGTGGGGAAACACACAACTCGTTGTGGGGGTATTACGGGGGGGGATTTGATGTTACCTGCCAGACCTGCCCAACCGGACCAGCCCCGGGAGAGACCGTCCGCATTCCCGTGGTCGGCCCCGGCCCGATGTTGTACCTGGAAGCAGAAGTCCTGGAGTGCGAGGAACCACCGCGTCACCCAGGCGTTCGTGTCCTTCGCCTTGGACATCCATTGTAGTAGCGCATGGTCTGTGACGAGGGTGAACCGGCGGCCCCAGAGGTAGTTCTTCAACTCCAGGACTGCCCACTTTATGGCCAGGGCCTCTTTCTCCAGGGTGGCGTACCTGGTCTCCGCGGGGGAGAGTTTCCGGCTGATGTAGACTATGGGGTGTTCCTCTCCATCCCGGAGCTGGGAGAGGACTGCCCCTAAACCGGTGCCGGAGGCGTCCGTGTATAGGGTGAAGGGGCAGCCGAAGTCTGGGGCATGCAGGACCGGGGAGGACGTCAGGGCCGTCTTGAGGGCCTGGAAGGCGGCTTCTCTCTCGGGAGTCCAGTCTATCCTCTCCGGCTGCTCTTTTCTGGTAAGGTCTGACAGGGAGCAGGCTATAGAGGAGAAGTTAGGAATGAAACATCGGTAGTAGCCCGCCAACCCCAAAAATGCCCGTACCTGCGTCTTGTTGACGGGACGTGGGAACTTCTTTACCGCCTCGACCTTCTTTTCCTGGGGCATGATGAGCCCTCTTCCAATTTTGTACCCGAGGTACTTTGCTTCGGTGAGGCCGAGGTGGCACTTCTTGGGGTTGGCAGTCAGGCCAGCCCGCCGGAGCTCTGTAAACACCCTCCGTAGACACTCCAGGTGAGTCTCCCAGCCCTCCGAGTGTATGACGACATCATCTAGGTAAGCCGCGGCGTAGGCTTGGTGGGGCCGGAGCAAGATGTCCATCAACCGCTGAAACGTGGCTGGTGCCCCGTGTAGGCCGAAGGGTAGCACCCGGTAATGCCAGTGGCCATTGGGAGTGCTAAAGGCAGTCTTCTCCCGGGACTCCGGGGAGAGGGGTACCTGGCAATATCCTTTGGTGAGGTGAGGGGCACCTGCCAATATCCTTTGGTGAGGTCCAAGGTGCTGATGTATCGAGCCTTGCCCAGCCGGTCCAAGAGCTCATCCACCCGCGGCATGGGATATCCGTCGAAGGCGGAAACTTGATTAACCTTCCTGAAGTCGTTACAGAAAGGCTACGAAGGGGGGCGGGTTGGTTCTCCCACGCTTCCCAAGCGACGTCTAGAAGGCCCCTGGGCTGTCTCCCAAACAGCAGTTCGGAGGGGGTGAAGTCTGTGGAGGCCTGTGGTACTTCCCGGACTCCAAAGAGCACGTACGGGATCATGAGGTCCCAGTCACACCCATCTTCGGCGACCACCCGCTTCAGCATCCGTTTGAGCGTCTGGTTGCAGTTTTAGCAATGTGGTCTGAGAAATTCAGCTTATCATCAATCACAACTCCAAGGTTTCTAGATGTTTTTGAAGGAGTTATGGTTGATGAGCCTAACTGGATGGTGAGATTTTGATAAAGTGATGGGTTTGTTGAAACGACAAGCAGTTCTGTCTTTGCCAGGTTGAGTTGAAGGTCATGGTCCGTCTTCCAACAAGAAATGTCTGTTAGACATGCTGAGATGCGAGCAGCTATCGTCGGATCATCAGGATGGAATGAGAGGT